CCCCAAAGTCTATTCACACACACACACATACACCATGGTATCTCCAAAGACCAAGCTATCAAGTCACCCAACCCTCCACACCATGCAACCAGTAAGCACTGCTCTGGAACAGGGCTCTCCCTGCCCTTACTATCATATTCACAGACCTCAAAACGACATACAGTGCCAAGCTCTGCTTACACCTGACTCCTCAGTGCAGCTTTCCCAACTGTTAAAGCAATTGGGAGAGAAATTACATAGAGGCTTCTCTCCACTTGGCTGAAGCACGCTATGGATCCCTTGACCTTGCTCCAACCTGAGTAGAGGTGTCCACAGGGGGAAGTCATATGCTATTACTACACAATTGAAGCCCAGCACAATTTCATATGTGTTGCATGAAAAAAGGAAAGGGCCTTTAATTCTGCAGTATGCTCATCATCCTGGTTGTATGATTCCCCTCCTCCCCAAGGATGTCCCTGCCTTGAAATTTTTTTGTACCACTATCCTTTAGGTCAGGGGCTGCCAACCTTTTGGTCCTTAGAGACCACCAAACTCATAATTTTAAATCCCAGGGACCACTAACTGATTCTGTGGGTGTGGCCTAATTTGTGGGCATGGCTTGGTGGTCATGTGACTGGCTGGGCATGGCTTGTATGTAAATATTATAAATATTTATATAAATATTGATTTTTTATAAATAAATAAAAAAGAGCAACTTTTACCCAAAGCAGGCAGGCAGATTGAGTTGCTCACAGAATCATTCAGTGATCTATCTATCTGCCATCGGCTAGCTCAGTCTCTCAAATTTGCTTTCCCTGAGTCTGCACTGAATTTGCTTGCAAGCAAACCTTCAGTCCTAATGGAGGTTCAGCTGTACTTAAAAGCAGAGCCGAAGATCTAAAGACTAGCTAGAAAGCAAGAAATCCAACCATTTCCTGCTTCCTAGCTAATCTAAATCTCCCGGCACAGCAGAACACCTGATGGTCGGAAAATTAGCAATTTAGCAGGCAAGTTTGCTGGGTAAGGAGTGAGTGGGTGGGGAGGATTCCCGCAGGCCATGTGGGCGATGCAGCCTTGTGTTTCTGCGCAGCCTGGATTAATTGCTTTGGGGGGGGTGTTCTGGGGGTGAGATTTCTCTGCGGCCCACCAACATTTTCTCATGGCCCACCAGTGGGCCGCAGCCCACCGGTTGGCGACCGCTGCTTTAGATTCAATGACAGCAGACGGATGCAATGCTTGCAGAAGGGCCAAACACTTCTCGTGAATCACTTTTTAAAAGTGAATCCAGTATAAGGGTCTATGACTAGCAAAACAGTGTTCATCTTGAAGGCAGTAGAGTTTTTTACACAACTACTTAACTTTTGACTTGAATTGTTGTTGAATCAAATTGTTCCTCGCTTAAGAAATAGTGGGTTTTTTTCCCCATTGGCTGGAGCACAGCACGTAGATTTATTATGTATACTACGCATTTCATGAAAAAGTAAAATATATGTCTCGGTGTTTAACCATTTCCTCTTTTTGTCACACTAAAGATTTAAATTTTATGACAACATTTGCAAATTATGTAGCTGTCATAGACAGCAGATCTCAAGAGGCATCAAAAGGAAATTTAGGCAAGAGCCTTTCAAAGTTGGACATCTATCACCTTCTGCCTGAATCTTTAAAACAGAAATGCTGAGACACAGAGTTTTCTGCACGTGTGTATTCTACCCCAATATAAAAGATTGTGCAATCATCAGCTGAGTTTCAGCTGAGTAAGAGAACAATGATGTGACAACTGGAAGCTTTCCATAGCAGGAATTAAAACAATATTACTTATTATAAATAGTCCTCGACATACAACCATAATTGAGCCCAAAATTTATGTTGGTAAGTGAGAAATTTGTTGCTTGAGTTTTGCCCCATTTTATGACTTTACTTGCCATGTTTATTAAGTGAATCACTGCAGTTGTTAAATTCGGTTGCTAAGTGAGTCTGATTTCCCCATTGAATTTGCTTGTCAGAAGGTTGCAAAACCCCCACCTGTCAAGTATTTGAATGTAAATCATGTGACTATGCGGTCATAACTGAAAAATGGTGAAAACTCCCTTTTTTCAGTGTCCTTGTAACTTCATACATTCACTAAACGAACTGTACTTTACTAATTAAATAATCTAAACAGCAGGTTGCTGTTCAAGGAAGTGAATGCTGAACAATAATATAATCTCTTTTTGGTTCACTATGTTGCATGAACCCATTCGTTATGTCTAATTGTTACCTGCAAAGGATTCTATGCTTTAGTCAGCTAACCATGAGTATAAAACCATGGCTTTGTGTTATTTTTATATTTAGGAATTGGACATGGGTAATATCACCCATTTTAACTTTTTCTTCTCCTACATAAATATAAAAAAGGTAGAGAGAGAATGATAGGAAATGAAAACCAATGTATCTGAAGAACATGAGCTTGTAGAAAACTGATCTGATATGAAACTCCATATTCTGCAGAAGTCTAAGGTTTCATATAAGGATATATTCTCTCTCTGTGTGTGTTGTAGGTGTGTGGTGTGAGGGTGTGTATGAAATAAATATAGGGAAATATAGAAATATATATGTTCAAAAATATAAATTAAAAAACTCTAAGAAGAGGGACTATTTACTGTTTTGACCTAAATAATAGCAATAGTAGTGGAACTTAAACTTATATTCTGCTTCACAGTGCTTAACATCCCTTTCTAAGCAGTTTACAGAGTCAGCCTATTGCCCCCAACAACCTGGGTCCTCATTTTACCCACCTCAGAAGGATGGAAGGCTGAGACAACCTTGACCCTGGTAAGATTTGAACTGCCAAATTGCAGGCAACTGGCAGTCAGCAGAAGTAGACTGCAGTACTGCACTCTAACCACTGCGCCACCACAGCTCCTAATCTAAATAAGACTTCAGGTGAAATACAGAAAAAGTTATACTAATGGTAGAGCAGAATAAACCACATATTAAAAATAATTTAGAGTCCTTTTAAAAAAATCATTCCACTTACCTAAATTGTCTCACATTCTAAGACTTCTTAGCAGGATAGACGAGAGGTCCTCTCTTGGACCTATGTGTCTTTTAGCAGTAGGCAATATCAACATGGGAATCCCAAAGGGCTTTTTCAAAAGGCAACTGGACTTTGTTTTTTCCTTGAAGATGTTTCGCTTCTCATCCAAGAAGAACTGAAGAGCGTAAGAAAATGTGTAAGAAATTCCCAACAACCTGCAAAGAAAAAATAGGACACGTGTATTGCAAGAATGCATGCTTTGATTCTTGCACATGATAATGATCTTTATCCTAAAGTGTACATAATATAAACAGAGAAACATTAAAGTACTTTGGATTTTTATATTTTCAGCTTGATTTAACTGATCAATAACATCATATTCTCATAGTTCTAGCCACTGTGTTCTATTTATAAATCAGAAAAAAACTGAGAAGAGAATAAAAATGTAAAAGATGTACATCCAATAACTTATGAGATGTGACATATCAGCAATTTTGATCATCCAGCTCTAAGGATGCTTATCATTTTAGATACTTTTTCCAAGATATTTGAGAGCCAGCTTGATCTACTGTATAGATACAGGCAGATGATAAAATGTGTTGCCTTACCATGAACAGCTCCACTGCCCAATTTTTTTCTGCTACTGATAGAAATTTGAGAAGGTTCACTGTTTGAGATCTCATTTATCTTATATGAAGTCAAACTATCCATCTAACTAGCTATTACCTTCTTGTGATTGGGAGTAGGATCATCTACCCATCCCCTGGTTTCTGTCTTAGAAAGAACTTTATAGACCTGGAGTTATTGTTATGGAATAACTTGGTATTTTCAAACCACGATCCCTTTCTGAAGACCTCTCCCAATAATTTAATACAGAATTGTGCAGCGTCTTCCACCCTCAACTACCAAATTCTGTGGCACATTATCCTGCCATTTTGAGCGAAATACATACTAAAACATAAATGTTAGAGTATAACATGTATACCATCGTGAGAAATAACACCCCTGAAAAACAAGCAAAAATTCTTTATCCGGAAAAAAAAAATCAAGAATGAAGGTAAATATAAATGTTCACGGATAATGTTGCAAGATCCAATCTGGGTTGGTCACTGTGACCAAAGGTTTAGTCTTCCATGCTTTTGGATTCATGCTGGAGCCAGTGGTGGGATTCAAACATTGTTATTACTGGTTCTGTGGGCGTGGTTTGGTGGGCATGGTATGGCTGTGGGCATGGCTTGGTGGGCATGGTGTGGCTCCCACCCCACTCCAGGGGAAGAATACTGTAAAATCCCCATTCCCTCCCCACTCCTGGGGGAAGGTTACTGCAAAATCCCATTCCCTCCCCACCCCACTAACCTGTTTTCCAGCACCATTCTCCTGTGCAGGGCAACAAAGGAAGACCCAGCTGATCATCTGGGACTTGGGAGGCAGAGAATAGATAGGGGCGGGGCCAATCAGAGATGGTATTTGCTAGTTCTCCAAACTGCTCAAAATTTCAGCTACCGGTTCTCCAGAACTGGTCAAAACCTGCTGAATCCCACCTCTGGCTGGAGCCTATCCTCAGGGGACTTCCCTGAGGATGAGAGAGAAATTCTCCAAAGATGGGTTCCAGTACGAGTCCAAAAGTTCAGAAGACTAAACCTCTAGTTCTGGTGACCGACTCAGATTAGATCTTGAACAAAATCAAATCACCTTGACTGCACCCATCTTACATAATCACTCAATTCATTGCTTTCTTTGCCCACTCACACCCATCAAGCTTGCTTTAAAAAAATGAAACGAAAAGCAAAATGTTGTGGAATATCAATGAATAGATGGGGTAGAACAGGGCTGTCACACACATGGCCCATGGACCAGATGCATCACGCAATGGTCACACCCATGCCCAGTTTAGCGAAGGGGAAAAAAGTCGTGATAGGTCATGTGACACCACCGTAACAATGTACGTTTGACACCCCTGGGGTAGAAGGAAAAAAACCAAAAGTTTCACTTCTGTCAAGATGCATTTATTCCAGTGGGTTTTATAAAAGGCATGAGGATGTGCCCTGTATATGGATCAGCCATCCTGGTAGGAATCAGATGGCAAAAGGGAATTTTAGCATTTGATATTAGGTAGAACTGGTTCCGACAATGGCTAACAAATGCAGAAATTCCAGCAGCTTCTTGGACAATACAGCCCAAAGGTGTCTGAATCAATCCCTGTTGCAGCCAGCTGAAACATGTCCATTTGCATGTTTCATTTCTTATTGCAGCTCCAGCTTCTAAGAGTTCTTCAACTATATTTTCTTGTCTTCCATTCAGAAGCATTCTTTTAAAGAAGGAGGGGGATTGGGTGGAAAAAAACCCCAACGACACTTCAGTGCTCCAGTTTCAAAATGCAAAGGTATGATGTTATTTGTCATTGTGCCCAAAAATCCTTACTCAGTAACTTTGCCAGAAGAGGGAGAGAGAGAGGGAGAGAGAGAGGGGGGGGGGGGAGAGAGAGAAAGGAGAGAAGAGAGAGAGAGAAAGCAAATGTTCTTCCAGCTGTTTCCTGTCTACAGTGTCTGTAATGTAGATAAATGTGAGGATTTTCTCTAAATCTTCTTCTGTTTGCTAAATCTCACTCTCAAATCAGAGCAGATCAAGCCTGCGCAATGGAATAAAACTCCTCAATATTGATATGTGAACATCTCCTGGATTTCTTTTTTTCTTTTTATTCCCCCCCTCATTATTCCTCTGCTAACCAATTCATTTCCAGAGTTTGCACTTAAGAAGCAATGGGGGAAACCAACAGTCTTTCAACACTATTATTTAAGTGCTGCTTTTGTGATTTCTTGAAGGTAAATCTTTCTTCCTATTTGTTTTCTGTTTAAATATATATATATATATATATATATATATTAATTTTGCTGTATGTGTAATCAGATTTTGGCTTGAAGATTGCTATAGACATTTTCAGTGGCATTATTTCTGCACTGGGATTTTATTTCTAAACTGCTGAACAATTTTAGCACAGTTGAGAAATGACTGCATGGAATGACTGCTCTGAACATAGCTTAGAAACGGTGAAGGTACTTATGAATTCAACTTGGATTAGAAAAACTTTCTGCAAAAATTCTTGCTCTGTCATATTTAAAATTCCCACTTACATCATTTGCTGTGGTTAATAACTGCTGAGTTGGATACAAGCAGTTTTGAATTGCACTGCAGGTGCAAATGTTGACATTGTAATACCCATTAGACATCAAATAGCTGATTCAGTTCTCTAGGATTATTATATACCCAGAAGTACAGAAGTAACCGAGAGATTACAGTATATAGTCTTTATAGCAGCTGCTTATTGGCATCAATCTACATTTAGACTTTTTTTTATGGTTTCCTGTGAAAGTGAAGTTTGTTTTTCCTTTTCTGAAAGAAGAACCATGCACAGCTTTCTGCTCTTGCAGATTCATGCTAAGTTTAAGCAATTATGCATTAAGAAAAGTGAACAAACTATTTTATATGCAGTTTTATTTTACTTTCACAAAGCAGCTTTTGTTAAACAAAGTTTGATAGGAGTTTTTAAATAGTATCCTGTATTCACTACTTCTTGGAAACATAACACTTTTTAGATAGATTTGACTTCAGTAGATCTACTGACCTATGTTTTTGTCAGCTGGCCTCAAGTTTCCATTCTCAGCAAAATTATATCCTTCAAGAATAAAGTTTTGTTTTTCCATTTTGTAGGCAGAGTTGCGTGCAGCTGACAGTCTCAAAAGCTGTAGGTGCCAATTTAGTTTTGTTTTTACTTTTTTAAAAAAACTACTTTGCCTGAGTATTATTTATCCATTTTACTTTACTTGAAAGAAATAATTTTATAACATGTTTAGAGTAAGAATAAACAGTGTTATGGGAATATTGCTGAAATCAATACCTATTGGAGGGTCATGGTTATAACTGCAGAACTATGGACAGCATCCAATGTTCAGTTTATTGGAAAGAGGAAGGTATTTTTTATTATAAGCTTCCCAACATAATATAGATACCAAATCATAATTAATTAGCAGAGTGTAACAAAATTGAACTTATAGAAGAAGGCAGTACTAAACTACTAAACATGTTAGCTGAAAACCAAATCCTATTAAGCTTAGAGGGATTTGTAGCTGAATCCTATGCATGCATGTCAAGAAAAAAATCCAACAAGTTAAATGTGAATTATTACCATGTAAGTGTTCATAACCTTGCAACCTTGATTCCAAATATTTTTTTTCTTGAATGCCTAAGGCTGTCCTTGAGATGAGGATATTCTTGAGATTGGTGCCATGAGAACTTTTCTCAACTTCTTTCTGGACAATGCTAGCTGCACTGATCCTGCTAGACTTCTATCATAGGTTCTAGAAGGAATTAGTTCATCAGTATTGTTTGTGAATGCCAATAGGTAGAAAAAGAATACCTGGTACACAAAGGCATGACAAGACATAACATTTGTATCTCTCTGTTCTGAGATTTTAAGGAAAGGTGATTCTAATATATACTATATATATCACTTTCTCTACCTGAGTGCCAGGACCTGGATAGCTCCTAAAGTTCATGTACTGCATATAATCTTTTGAAGTGCAAAGGTCCATGAGTTCATGGTGAGGATTTGAACCCCATAGAATTACATCTGGCTACCTAGCTATAATGAGTCCCAAATAGAACAGAACTATTCACTTCGTCCTGGTGGTCAGTGTACTTACAGTATGTATGATTTCTTATTCAATGCTTCCTTGGTATCATGTTGGTTGCATATATTGCCTTATTCACCTAATGATGATGTCTGACAGCTTACATATGTATTTCCTTAGCACAGACTGATACTTCTGTCTACAGTATACCAGCTGCCATGTCTCTGAAAAGCGCTTTCAAGTAAACCCTGAGCGTTGTTATTTTAGATAGTCACCAAACCGGCATGCGCCCAAATTTCGCTCAAGCGTTTTTGTACGCGCTGCTTGATTTGAAGCTTGCCGAATGGGAGGAGCTGGGGGAGGGCAAAAGAAGGTGTTAAAGCCAAGGAGCAATCCATCTGCTGGCTACTTTAAGAGCCACTGTTTTGGACTGCTGCACTCCAGATGCAGAAGATACTGGATCTTCTCGGAAGGAGAAGATCTGTTGAAATTGCAGCTATGAAACATAATTGGTCATTCATTACCACATTGTTTAGCCAGTCCTGCACAGTACAGAGTTGGACTCAGAGTCCAAACTTAATCAGACACTCTGATAAACCCCACCCACTTTCCAGGACTTGCTTTTAAAGGCCTCTGCCTTCAGTTCAAATGGGACAGACAATAAATTGGGGACACTCTGATCTATTGAAAAGACCACCAGCCAAACTGTTAATTATCGTAAGTATTCCTTTAATGACTCCAGTCTTCTCATATGAATGGAGCAGAAATATTAAGGTACATCGGAGAATTTTCTGACAGATAAATCTTCAAAAACACTATTATTATATGATTGATGAGATAGGATTTTTGGTCCATTTGACCATTTTTTCCTCTTTCCAAACTATGTAAAGAGATTATGATTTTGCTATCTAGGAGATTCTAGGCAGGTGTGTGGTGTCACATTCTTGGCTCACATAAAGGAGTGGGAATGGTGCCCCATTCTCTTGTCCTAGATCTGATATTTCTTTTTTACAGTGTGCAAAGTCTGCTGCAGTCTCAGAAAAAATAACATTGTTAAATGAAGTTTATGTTTGAGGCAAAGCCAACTGGGATCAAAGAACACTGTGTTGAATACACAGTGTTCTTCAGTAGGTACGCAATGCCATTTCATTGAGACAATGCTGGGATAACTTTTTGAATTGCACCCTTGAAAGCAAGCCCGTGAAAGCAGGTGACTTACCTCTGCCTTAAACACTTTTGAGGTGCAATTGAATAGAGGAAAATGACATTATGAAAACTGAGACTATTCTTAGTTTCTATGATTGAATATAGTGAACCTTGTTTCTGCTTCTGAAGTCACATTCATATTTGCCTTTCTAATACTCTGGACTGTCATGTTTTGTAAATGTTAAATAGCTATTTCATTTTCATTAAGTCTTTTAAACATCTTTCTATATTTATAGTGGATGTTTCCATAAATGGAGATCTTGCCTACTATTCTCATCTGTTGGTTAGTTGGCTAGGTTCTCTGCTAGGTTGGCTAGTCATTATAGATGGGCTTTTGTAGAGAAATGTTTCACATTTAATGTGAAGGCCAAGCTAGACATTGCTAAGGACTGGTTTCTGACTGTGGTTCTAATTGTCCATCCCCCACCCCAGGAACAAATATTATGTGTATTCTGTCTGTGATTCTGTCTGTGTGTCTGTCTCAAGGAAAAGGAATGCTCTTTGAAAAAGCTTCATAGAGGGAAAAGCTGCTTTTCAAAGATATTAAGACAAGTAACCGATGTAATCCTTCCAGCCATTGCCAATAAAGTGTTTGGCAATCAAATCTTTTTTTCTACTTACTGTGCAAGATTGAAATTTTCAATAATTCTATAATGTGGCAAAATTTTGGGAGGCTGAGAAAAAGGGATGATCATGATGATGATGATGATACAGCTCATTTAGCAACTGATCTTGGAGATAAAGTAAGAGCCATGGTGGCGCAGTGGTTAGAATGCAGCACTGCAGGTCTAACTCACTGCTCCTTCCAGGGGTTTGATTCTGAGCGGCTCATGGTTGACTCAGCCTTCCATCCTTCTGAGGTCAGTAAAATGAGGACCCAGATTGTTGGGGGCAATATGATGACTCTGTAAACCACTTAGAGAGGGCTCTAAAGCACTGTGTTACCATATATAAGTCTAAGTGCTATTGCTATTGCTAAATTACTTGGAGAAAAATCCCTGTATTACTAGCACAGTTTCTGAGTTTTATCACAAGTGTACAGGAAATATTTGGGGAAGTAAAGTCACATATCCATACCTCTAAGTCTAAATCAGGGTCACTTGATTGTGAGATGGGCAGCATATCAGTATGATGAACAAATAAACCCAACCCAATCAGGGTTGCAGTATTGTAGTTATATAGTAGTCATGGAATACTTCATATCAATATGTAGAAGGGACAGGGAAATGGAATGGAACATCCTAGAAGAAAGCATGGCTGCCTGGGTTAAGCATGGAACTGAAAGGTTCCTTGCTACAATATTTTGTTATAATTATGAGAATTTCTACACTGTAATTGTTGAGGTACTCCCAATTCTTAGTTAATTCATCTAGGCATTTTATACTTTCCAGAGTTTGATGGTGCTTGTGTTTGTAATTTCTGCCCATTTCTCCCTGTAGTTAATTGTTTCAGATGTCTAACAAAGATTAGCATACTGCAGCTGCCTTGTGTTGCTCCAGTAACACAACACAGCTGTTGATCCTAATTTAAACATCAGTCATACAGGGGTTTAAAACTGCTTTGGTAGCTGGATCACACCCAATCTATTTGGTCTTCCCTTCATAGTTGAACCACACTGTATCAGTTGAGTTAAGCCTCTGAAAATTTAACAATAAGCTGCCAGGTTCAATATATATATTTGGGTGGGGAACCCCTCTGCTTTTAATAATTCAGACATTTAAAAGGGAAATAGATCCATTTTTAATGTCACCTTTTTCTTGTAATAGTTGGGTGAAGTTTAAAAGACCCAGAAGTTTTACTTGAACTAGAATTAAGTAATCTAACTCTTCAACTGAGTTTATCAAAATCCTGCAGATGCCTTCACAGTATTGGTTCACATGAATTTAAGACATGGGAGATGGCTCTGGATGCCAACAACCTATGAATTTCTTTAAGAAAAAGAAAGAATGCAGGATAGAAATCAACTGCCACACCAATGTAAAAATACACTAAGGCACATATGTATCTGATTTTTTAAAATGCACAAAAAGCAAAAGATTTAACTGAAAATGAAATATTTTCTTAGTCTATTTTGCTCAAAACACTTGTATCTTCCTGGGTGTGCTTCAGATTTTACCTGTCAAATTTGGAGCAGATGAGGGTATACCTCAGAGAAAAGGCATGAAGTGAAACAACAAACAATTCTCAGTGGTCAGAAAGAAACAGAAAACGGGTTTCACACCTGGGAGTAGCCCTATATTCTAGTTTACAAAGTTGTCTGTTTGAAATATTGTCCAGGATCTATTTGAATGAAGTTTCTGATCTGTATAAAGGCCTGTCCAGTCAAATCTGTTTAAAAATAAATGAACTATCGGAAACAAAAATTTGAAATTGCCCATAGACATTAGCTGCTGGATGGACAAGGCTCATGGTTATTTGATCAGAATTTTCCCCAATATGTAATTTGTTTTAAATGGGCCTCAATGCTAATAAAGTAATCAATTTCGTTCTATTTAAATAAGCATCTTGTTTAGCCCAATTTTGGGGATTTTCTGAAAAAGTATTGACATAGTTTTGTTTTTACTTCATTCACAGGTAAAGATGCTCACTGCAACATCCATTAATTTCTTCTACTTTGGCCTGTGTTTGCTCACATTAACTGGCTCGTCTGTTGCTGCTGCTGGCCATGAAACACTTTGTGGTGCTGAGTTGGTTGATGCTCTTCAATTTGTCTGTGGAGAAAGAGGCTTTTATTTCAGTAAGTTTAACCATCCATTGATCCTCTTCTCACTGAAAAGTTGGGTCAGTTTTTCCAGTTGTTTTTCTGGAGAATGTAAATTTTGGGGTCATGCACATCAGTTATCAGTTCCTGTGCTTTCTACAGCAGGGGTTTCCAACCTTGGCAACTTTAAGCTTGAAGGACTTCAACTTCCAGAATTTCCCAGCCAGCTTTTCTGGCTGGGGAATTCTGGGAGTTGAAGTCCTCCAGGCTTAAAGTTGCCAAGGTTGGAAACCCTTGTTCTACAGTGTTTCTACACCCATGTGTATGTGGAAGAGGGTGTGTGCATGTCTGTATGGTATTTATCAAATAATAGTAATACAATAGGCTTCTCTCAAATCCTAGGTCAAAAATGTACATTAGTTTGTGTGGGTTTAACATCTTCTACTCACTCCTCACTTTTTTAAAAAACAGACTATTATACTTTCTAACTATTCTTTTTCTTTTCCTCTTGCTATACTTACCGATTTCACTTCTTTTCCACCCTAAGAACTTCCTCTTATACAAGATGCTGCATCTGGAAATGGTTTAGTCCTGCACACAATTTCTCTTTTAAGCACATTAAAAACTGGATGTTATTTATCATTATTACAACTCTCTTCCAACATCTGGTCTTTGTGGCTATGTGAACTGTCATTAAAGTGGGAAGTGCAGGAGGTAGGAAATGGTAACATAATGCAACTACCAAGAGGTGCCTACTGCATTGAACAATCTTTGCTATTGGTTTGGCTTCAATATATTTGGAGAACAAGGCTGGAGAAGTTTCTGCTTGAACGGTTTCATGTGAATGTGACTTTGTGAATTAAGAAGGAATGTCATGTAATAGAACATCTTGTGGTTGTGTATATGATTTTAATATCTAACTCTTTGGTTAAAAAAAATTAATTGAAATCATGAATCAGGAGCTTAAAATGCACACTGAGATAATGTGAGGTGAAGAAATACTAAAGAGTTCACAAGGATAACATTTTACTAAACTAGGTTCTCACACAATTTGTTTTGTGAATGGTTACAAAAACTTTATAAACCAGCCCCTTGCCATAGTCATGCTATGGCAAGAACAGAACATACCTGTTGCCCGATACAGGGAACATGTTTACTCCTGTAAGAATTTAAGCACCTTAATAAAACTTGTGATGATCACACTGACTTTCAGCTCCTCTTTATTGGACATCTGTGGTGGATATTGCCCCTTGGAGGATGTTTACATTTGGGCATTAAGCACCTTTTTATATAAGATATTGTAGGGGATAGTTCTCTCCTTTTTTAATCACTTTGTTTAACAGCTATATTAATCTGTTGTCATCCATCAACTTGGAATTGTACCATCAATAACCTGATGATACCCAGTAATATATCATCATTTGGTCTTGATGCTGATGCTGTGGGTGTCTTTTCTTGGTTTGTGTGTGTATGTGTGTGTGTGTGTGTGTGTGTGTGTGTGTGGAGGCTATAAGAACTTTGTGTAATAAAACAGTCTGCAATTAAATCTGAAGACAACAGAATTTATTTATTTTTATTTATATCACATTTAGAAACTGTCCATCATACAAAGCAACTCTGGGAGGTATTCAAATAATGCATAAAAGCTTTAAAAACTATACATAAATATTACACTAAAACAATTTAAAGAAAAAATAAATAATTTCAAAGTTTAAAAAGAGCGGAAGAGCCTTCATGTTGCCATTTCCTCCTAAAACAGGGGTGTCAAACTCACGGCAGGCTGGATGTATCACATGCTGGCC